AATCGTTGCCTTGAGGAGATGGCTAGAACTATGCTTGATGAGGCAAAAATTCCTAAGTATTTTTGGGCGGATGCCGTGAGTACCGCGAGCTACGTGTTAAACCGAGCCGTGATTAGACCGATACTCATGAAAACCCCATACGAATTATATAAAGGAAGAAAGCCAAACCTCTCCCATCTTCGAATCTTTGGTTGCAAATGCTTTGTTCACAATAACGGAAAAGATAATTTGGGTAAATTTGATGCAAAGTCGGATGAAGGAATTTTTCTTGGTTATTCATTGCGTAGTAAGGCTTATAGAGTCTTCAACAAACGCACCTTAACCGTTGAGGAATCTCCTCATGTTGTCTTCACCGGAAATGATGCTCGCTTGGGAAGAAAGGTTTCTTGTGATGATCTTATAGATTCATTGGAAAACATCTACGACGATGACAAAGTAGAAAACTCAAAGGAAAGCCAAGATGAAGAAGTAGAGCCACCCGTAAACGAGGAACAACCACAAGAGGAGGAAACGCCAATGCCAAGGGCATGGAGGACTTCAAAGAACCATCCTCTTGACAAGGTGATCGATGACATCAACCGAAAGGTAAGTACTCGTAGCTCTCTCAGGGACACCGTAGGTCACATGGCTTTTGTTTCTCAAATCGAACCTACAACCATTTCGGAAGCAATTGATGATGAACATTGGACCTTGGCAATGCAAGAGGAGCTTAACCAATTCAAACGAAATGACGTTTGGGAATTGGTGCCAAGACCTGATGATCATACCATAATTGGTACGAAATGGGTGTTCCGTAACAAACTCGATGAAAATGGAATAATCACTAGAAACAAAGCTAGGCTCGTATCTAAAGGCTAGAATCAAGAAGAAGGCATTGATTTTGAAGAAACTTATGCACCAGTAGCACGTTTAGAAGCTATCCGTTTATTACTCGCTTTTGCTTCGTCTATGGATTTTAAACTATACCAAATGGATGTTAAGAGTGCCTTCCTCAATGGTTTTATTCAAGAGGAAGTGTATGTTGATCAACCCCTGGGCTTTGAGGATTTTGAGCACCCGGAGTATGTCTATAAACTAAAGAAAGCACTCTACGGTCTTAAACAAGCACCTCGTGCTTGGTATGAATGTTTGAGCAAATTTCTTTTGGACAACGGGTTCAAAAGAGGGAAGGTTGACACTACACTTTTTATCAAGAGTAAAAACAATAACATCCTCTTGGTGCAAGTTTACATAGATGACATTATATTCGGTGCTACTAACGAATCTTTGTGCAAGGAATTTTCTAACTTAATGACAAATGAATTTGAGATGTCCATGATGGGGGAACTCAATTTCTTCTTGGGGTTACAAGTCAAACAAATGACGGAAGGGACCTTCATTTGTCAATCAAAGTATTGCAAGGAGCTCTTAAAGAGATTTGAAATGGATGGCTCCAAAGCAATGGCTACCCCAATGAGCACCTCCGAGCACTTGGAAAAAGATGAAAAGGGTAAGGAAGTAGACGTAAAGAAGTATCGAGGTATGATCAGATCCCTTCTTTATCTTACCGCTAGTAGACCCGATATCATGTTTAGCGTTTGTTTATGTGCAAGGTATCAATCTTGTCCAAAAGAATCGCATTTAACGGCGGTGAAACGGATAATGAAGTATCTTGTTGGTACAATGAACGTTGGACTATGGTACCCCAAGGGGTCTCCTTGTTATCTTTTTGGCTATTCCGACTCGGACTTTGCCGGTTGTAGATTAGACCGTAAGAGTACGAGTGGGACTTGTCACTTGCTTGGTAGTTCTTTAGTCTCATGGTTTAGCAAGAAGCAAGTCAGTGTTGCGTTATCCACAACCGAAGCGGAATATGTTGCCGCCGGTAGTTGTTGTGCTCAAACCCTTTGGATGAAGCAACAACTTGTGGATTATGGCCTTAGTATCGATCACGTCCCTCTTCGATGTGATAATACTAGTGC